GTCCCCGCCCCGGGCGCGGACACGCGCAGGCACCCCGCGTCACGCGAGGCCGACCGGGCGCACGCGGGGGCTGCGCCGGGGGACCCAGGATCCCCGTCCCCCCGCGCCCCCGCTCCGAGAGCCGGTCGGCTTAGGACTCGGCCGCGGCCGCGGGGCACCCTCTACCCCTACCCGGGCCCCGGGGCCAGCGGCAGCTGGTCATTGTTCGAGCACAAAGGGCCGGGCGCCAAGGCGGCCGCCCTTCCCCCTCGGCTTCTTCGGTCGAAGCCTCCCCCGCAAGACACACTCTCGGGCTTCGGAGTCCAGAGCTAGACGCCAAGGGTCGGCTGCCCCTCCCCCGCCCCAACCCCTGCTACCGGGACCCTGCGCCCCAGGATGAGTCGGGGGCCGAGGCTCGCGCCGGGCCTGCCCCCCCACCCCCAGCGGTTGGTGGAGGAATATTTGGACTTGCGGAGGCGGCGCCACCTGGCGGCGCATTCGGTGAATACACTCAGTCACCCCCTCGCCCTCCACCTTGGGGGCCTCTACACGACTCCCCGGCCCTGTACCCTCTCCTGCGCGAGCCCAGGCCTGTCTCAGGCGCGGCTCTCTGCTCCCCAACCTCCCCTCAGAATCATTTAAGAAGGAGGTCATTGCTGGGAGAGAGGCGCAGCCCCTGATCCCCCAACAATCACTGGGGTGAGCCGGTCCAAACCTACACCAGCCTCGCAGCTGACAACATTCCTCTGCCTTCTCAGGGTCGCAGATATTCTCACCTTCTGGCAAACACCACAGTTTTCATAACACCCACACGACCTTTCCCACATGCAGTCCCACGCGGCCACAATCACACAGTCTCATCCATCACGTGGTTCCACACTCCTTTCCATAATCTTTCAGGCCACCGCACACACAGACATACTCCGTGTCACAAACCTTGTTGTGCACAGTCTTTCACAACAACTCAAAGTCCTTACTACCGACTCACGATCTTAAATAGGCTTCCTCTCCTAAGCATCTTTCACACATTGGTGGTCTCATTCACAGTCAGACAACTTTCATAAACAGTGAGTTTCACAAACATTCTACCACACAGACTTTCCCGGAAGGGTCTCTGTGCCCCAGTCAGGTCAGCTGATGCCTACACCCCTGGGCAAGAACAGCTTCCCACCCCCTACTTGCAACCCCACCCCCAAGGCCAAGGCCTGCCAGAGCTCCTCTGCCCCAGGAAGGAGCATCCCCCCCTTCCAGGCCACAGCCCTGGCCAGCTCTCAGCTCTATTTTTAGCTCTATGGAAAGGGTTGTTTTTCTTTCTTTTTCCCTGGAAAGGGAGACATAACCCAACTACCCTCAGGCTCATCCCAGACCCTGAGCCTTACAAGAACAGACTGAGCCCCCCCCCCCCCCAGTAGAGACCCCCTCCCCTGGCCTTGCCCTGATCCCAGCCTCTTGGGGCACCAGGAGCCTCCTCCCCTTTCTGGCAGCCAGCCCAGAAGCTCAGGCAGCAGCTGGGCTCAGCATGTGTGTAGGGGTGGAGGGTGGGGCGGTGAGGGAGGCAGAAGGCCGCTGCCCACTCCCTCATTCCCTGAGGGAGGGGGCTCATCCTCCCTTCTAGGGGAGGGAGATAGGCCCACTCTTGTATTTAGGGACATTTACCCTCATGCATTGTCCGGGAAAGGGCTCCCACCCTCGCAGGAGTGGGCTTTCTGCTCCTACACTGGGGGGAAGAGCTCCCAGTTGTGCAAGGAGGGGAGTGGTAGGAAGGGGACCCACTAAGGCTCAGGCAGCTGCTCCCTGGACTGGAGGTATGGGGCAGGGGCTGCTGTACACTGCCATCAAAAATAACTCCGTTCTTCGATACCTTCAGGGATGAGGGCACCACGAACATGTTCCGGTGAAGGAAGGAGAGGAGCCCAGGTCACCCCACCCAGTGCAAGTCTCCAGTCCTGCGCTACCCGGACTCCAGGGGGCGTTCTGTTCCCACTTCTGTGGGAAGGTTTAACACTTCTCTGGAAGGAGAATGGAATACTGCTCGGCTGGAGACCTTGCAGACTCGCCCAGGACTGGGGAGGGAGGTCCTCGCCCTGATGCGCGGGTGGGGGAGCACAGCCCACTTGTCTGCGAAGCGATCACGTGCTGGGCGCCTGTTTACGTCTAAGTCTTCACCTGTGGGCGGCCAGGAAGCAGGAACCTCTGGAGGTGTCCCACCCGGCCCGTCCCCGTCGGCGGTCACAGGGCAGCCCTTTATCTCCAACCCCCGTCAAGTGCGCGACAGCAGAGCGCTCTGTCCGCTGGGGGGTCCGTGCGGGCCAGTGGCGCTGCTCCAGGGACTGCAGGGGTAATCTATGGGGCGCGTCCTTTCCTGAATGCACGTGTGTTCGTGTGTCCCAAGTGCGTGGGTCTGTGTGCGCGCGTGTGTGTGCCCGCTGGTGTGAGTTTGTGTCGGTTCCCTGTTCAGACTCCTCGCCTGCGCCCCGCCCCCGTCGCCCAGAGTGGGGACCCCTTTCTCACTCCAGTCCCCGGCTTCCCCAGATCGGGAAAGTTCGCTCCGGAGCCGGGATGTGTGGAAGGCTGGAGTTCCGATACCTCCGTGTCCCCACCACTCACCCAGCGCCACCTGCGCCGCCGCTCCAGCTCCCGCCCAGCTCCTGCTCCAGCGCGGGCACCTCCTCGCCGCAGATCCGCCGGCTCCCAGCCAGCTCCGGGCTCCGGACTCCGGGCGCCCGCCTGGCCGGGCCTGGTGGAGCGGGGCGGGGCGGGGCGGCTGAGGCCGCGCCCCCGGCCCAGGAGGGGAGTGGTCTGCCCAGCACCCCCTCAGCAGCCGACCCGGTATCCAGCCCCGCAGTAGCTCAACGGTGGCCTGAGGCTGCTCCGCTGGCCTCCGACTTCACAGCCTTCTGGATTTGGCTTTCGACCTGGGAAAGGGCCGAGCAGCACGTGACCGAGAGCTAAACTACCTGGGGGCCCTAACCAAGTTGGCGATAGGGCTTTACTGCCACCTGCCCGGCCCTGTGGGGAGCCAAACCGAGTCCACTCTCGGCTCCTTCCCTAGGCACCGGGAAACCCCCTAGGAAGCAGACAAAGAAGGCTCAGGTTTCACCAAAACAGACCCCGCCCCACCCTCGGGTCAGAGCTGCCCTAGCACAACTACCTTCCCCCTCCCCTGGAGTAGGTGTCTGCCCAGGTGAGTGTGCTTGCCAGTTCTGGCCCCCCACAGAGCAGGGGCCAGGCTTCCCTTAGACTCATAAAGTTCCACCCACAGGCACAAACAGGAAGTTGCCTTGTATTGCAGGGAGGCACCTAGGGCTCCCTCCCTCCATGGCACCCGAGGCGGCCTGTGGGAAGGCACAGACTGCGGGGTCTATAGGTATCTGGGCCACACTTGCAGCCTGAATACTTGGGCAGCGGGAGCGCAGTGAATTTAGTCCCTTCTCAAACCCATCTGCAGTAACGAAGCTGCTGGAGGACTGAAGCTGCCCCCCTCACAGACAAATGTGACCCGGAATCTGAGAGAGCTGCAGATCCAGCTGGACTCTGCTTGGCCAGGCCCTTCCTGAATGCTCAAGGAGATTCTTAATACCCAATTGGACATAGGCAGAACCAGGGTAATTTGACTTAATCTGCTCTGGTTGGGTACAGGGACAGTGGCTCCCAGGGATTCCCCCACTGCTTTCTAGGCTCCTGGGACTCTTGAACATACTTTGGGCTAATCTTGATGTGAGGAGTTTAAGACAGGGGTGCAATGGAATGTGTTTGTGTAGGGGGAGGGCTGGGGGAGCATTAGCTTCCCCTGCCCCCCATCATTATTCTCGATTGTGCCGGGCAGGGAGTCTGCTAGGAGAGTGGGGCAAGACAAACAGGCAAGTGTGTGTCTGTCCCTCTATCACCAATTCACAGGGACCTCAGAGATTTCCTGAGAACTCACCGGGAGTTCCCAGTAGATCAGAATGTGGGATGTAGAACCCACATCCTTAGAGGTAGGACTGACCTGGTGGTGTGCATCTGGAAGGCATGGCTGACGTTGTTATAGACCCTGGATGAGGCCTAGACCAGCCAGCGGCTGGGAATGATTACTGCGGGATTAGGAGGCCTGGCTCCAGCCAGTCTGGGAGACCCCCAAGAAGGGAGGCCCTGGAGGAACTACCCCCTCCCTCCCCCACAGGTTCTTCCCCAGAGAAGAGCTTTGTTCCAGGGTCTATTTCAGGAGTCAGCTGTAGCCATAGTTCTCACACCCAACAGACCAGAGAGCCCAGAGCCTTCCACAGGGCCCCAGAAGCCCGCTTAGGTGGACTGGGGGAACCTGATAAGGCAGCCCTGCCTGGAGGGAGCAGGAAACCTCCGCCTACCCTTACAAAAGGCTTCTCCCCAGCTCCCTCAGGACACCTGGCAGTCTGACCACTCTTGCATGCAAATCTAAAGGGAAAATAGGGCTTAAGGGTATCAGAGGAAGTGAGATGGAAAAGTGCCATCATTTAGAACTATTTTTCACAAGTCTCTTACATGACAATCCCCTTCAGTACTTGTTAAAGACATGAAATCCTGTAACTTTTCTCAAACCTCTAGAATCAGAAACATCTGTGTGTGTGTGTTGGCGGGGGAGGGGAGTAGGCCCTA